TTTTCATTTTTGGGTGAACTAACCCTTTAACGTTTGTAAAAAATTAAGCTTCAAATCAATGCACTGTTGATCATACATCCAGAAACATAATTATTTTTCTTAAGAATTACGTGAGTGGTGCTTGGCCATGAAACAGTTAGTTCCATCATAAAGTTAATGTTCTGGAGGTGCCAGATATATCTTAGGTTCTCCGCCTTCAGTGTAAGTCTATGGGGAAGTGCAAGTCTGATATCTTAAGAAAGTAGCCTAATACTCGACAAGCCACATGATTTTAGGTATCACTCATGTCGGACCAATTAGCAAACACCACTAGTTAAAACATTAAAACTACACACTTGTACACCAGCCTTAACTCCCTTGCACTTAAAGAGTTTCGGGCACAGAGTGTGTGTATAAACCAGCAGTGTTGTCATTAGAAAGAGTGACAGATGCATCACCTCCGTGTGAGTAAAGAGGAAGAGACGTATGTGTGCTCGGCCACTCCACACGCTCCGCATTAATCAGTAATGAGCAGATCCACAATCTCACTCTGCAAACAATTAAAGCCCATCCTCTCGACTCAAGAGCCATTCAATTGTGCCCAATGGTTGGACATTAACCCATATGCTTAAACATTTGCCTTTTTGTAAGCATGCGGACAGCAAATCAAAAAGTCAGATTATATCAAGTGTTTTAGATTGAAATAGACAAATAAAATTCAATTTCTACCAGTATGCACTGTACATTTTAGGCATCTCACTAATCTGACACAACCAGTTTAGTTCATAGCACTCTACTAACAAGCTTAATCTGAGAGTTAAAAAAGGGAGACTGCATATGCGCTGTGCAGGAAGGCCCGACTTCAGGAATTGTGCAATAAAATAAAAGTTTTAATGAGAATGTGTCATTAGTATTTTATGTAGTAACAATTTCATTAAACTCAATAAGGCACACAAAGCTGTTCTGTATTGTCAATATACTGTAGTCCCAGTTGAAGCAGCAGTATATTTGTGCATAAAACATATTTAGCCATGACTCAGACACAGTTTAAAAAAAATACAATTCAATGTTCACGCCGTTCTTTACCTTACAATAACTACACCGGTATTCGGTATGAACCGGTATACCGCCCAGCACTAGTTTCCACTACGTAAAATTTAAATGTAATAGTGTAAAATAGTATCCGTGTAAATTTAAATGTAATCAGATTATTTCACGTCAACATAATTTGACTGCATTAACAAAAAAAAAACTGGACTTAGTTTGTCTAATCTTTTATTCACATACTGTACAACTTTATAAAGCTCAGCAGCACTTTTTTTTTAACCATAAAAACAAAATGATCAAGATACTGTTGGCTTTAATACATACCAGAACATCTCTGCCAGGATAATGAATACTAACATACAGTAAATCCCCAAACTCTGCCGCCCCACCCAGTGCTAGCAGGGATTGACAATAATCCCAGTAGTGCATTAAGACTAATGACAGTAGGTATTAAAGATTCTCTCACTACATATTAGCCAACTCATAACACAGACTCCCAACTATCAACGGTACTGCTCTGGCAGAAAGCCAGCATGAGATGAGTCTTTGAAACGGATATTCTCACTCGAGCAGAAACGTTAAGCTTCAGAGAAGATTATACCCATAACAAAAGCCTGCTAAAGAAGAAGAAAGTGGCGTACAAATTAAAGCTCCTGCGTTTGAACTGCTTGGCAACACTTCATTGCCAATTTGAAATACGTAAACGCCTTTCTAAACTTCTGTTATAGGCCTTGAAGAACAGGCTGCATCACAAAAGTTTTTAAGGCATAGTTTTCATTAAACTCAATAAGGCACACAAAGCTGTTCTGTATTGTCAATATACTGTAGTCCCAGTTGAAGCAGCAGTATATTTGTGCATAAAACATATTTAGCCATGACTCAGACACAGTTTAAAAAAAATACAATTCAATGTTCACGCCGTTCTTTACCTTACAATAACTGGAGGCTGTCGAGCACTAATAAAGTACCATAAAAGTGTTCCATACAACTTGTGCACTTTGTTGCAAATCTTCTGAATCAATTGGATAGCAAATAAGGTTTAAGAGCTTCTGCAGTGGGGAAGATTTAAGGGGTAACAAATTTCTGACACAAAACTATCTTAAGAAGACTTTCAATATGGAACTAGCTTGCAAGATCCAGTGATGTATAAACAAAGAACTTCAGACATTTTGCCAAACATTTCCTTGTTTAGCAATTAGAAAGACGTTAATAATGATGACATGATTTAATTTCATTTTTGGATTAAATATTCTTTCACTATAAAAGATAAATTTCAGTTGGCTCAATTAACTTTAAATAAACTTTAGTTGAAACAACATAAAATTTAGATTTTTGACTTCAAAAATCTTTTACAGTGTTCAATTTTAAAACAGATCACAGCCCACAGTTATAGAACTAAAATCTGATTGGATGAGACAAAATATACGCTGAAAATCAGCGGAACATTAACAGTTACTGCATTAGTGAAGCTATATACCCAGAGTCTTGCCAAATAATGAACTACATTACTTGGCAAAAGATGTTTATGTTTTGAATGATTATTATTAATAATGAATGTACTTATTTATTTATATAAAATGCCGGCAACAACATGCCAAAGCAATAGGCCACAAGAGGCAGTTGCTTTGATTTTATCTTGGCCTCTTATGGTTCAAGTACGCTTTAATAAATGTGTGCAAACAAATTCTTTTGATTCCAGCTTTTAACCTATCATTCTTCCAGTAACAAAAAACCCTACCGGTTAACTACACGCAGAAAAGCACTAACCACAGTAACTTTGATAATGTTATCAAAACAGCATCATGTGCGTCTTGGTGACAAAAGCCATGTGGAATTCCTGGCATCACTGGAATCCACAAGAGCAGCTTTAAAACCCGTTCTTTTGGCTACATTATGACTGTAACATTGTATTGCATGACCTAGTGTATGCCTTTCTAAACTATCATCACTCAAAGAGGTTATCTAGTCTACAAAACACACAAAATTGGAAGCAATTCAAAGAATGTGACAATTGCACACAACACAATAACTTGGTTTATTAAAGGTGTGCCGTTGAGTATTTCAAACAGAGGCCGAAGAGCGAATGGCTCTCAGTCCTCAAAGGTAATGCCTCAGGATTCAAAAGACTCACCAAGACAAATGACGAGTTGGCGTGACAAGTTTTTCTGTTCACACTGAAACTAAAAATGCTGCATGAAGCAACACAATCACAGACAACCATATACGCATGACGTGTTTAATACCGTATTGGCCCGAATATAAGACGACCCTGATTATAAGACGACCCCCCCTTTTTCCAGATGTACCTTTTGGAAAAAGGCTTTTTAAAAACCAAATCTTGTTTTTTCTCAGTAAAACACATTTTGTCTTCAATTATTTTCATATTGCATATTTTTCCTATTTTAATTTTTGTTTTGAAAGTATGGTAAAAACTGGTAAAATGTACCAACAATCACATTTAAAAAATATACACTTTTTGATATACCATTAAAAAAAAAAAAAAACAGGTAGCCCATCTGAATTAGGACATTAGGCTATCCATCTAATAGTAGCCTACCAAAATCTTATTAACAGTAGAAGTTAAATCTTACTGTAGTCTTAAAATCACAAAGGGAGTTTGGTGCCATCAGGCTAACGTGACAGTCACGACTCATGCAGCTGTAAGGTTTTCTGCTTCTTTTGTTTTTACTCGCGATCTTTACAACATGCATTACATTACGTATTTCATGGCACACTCGTTTTATGCGTATTTGGCACCACCTATTGTTGTGGGTGTATTATTGACATTTCAAAGTCTAGACCCTGAATATAAGACGACCGCGTTTTTTCAGATGTATTTCCAAGAAAAAAATATCGTCTTATATTCGGGACAATACGGTATACAGATACCAAGCGTGACACGACAGGAATAGCAAACCAAGCAACCGACAGAATGTCTAGACACGCTGCAGTGGGTTATGACAGAACGTAATGTTTCCTAAAGATCAGATCTATGTTCAAACCTATAACTTGCTGCCAAATGGTATTAACCTTCCTGTTGTGTTCAGGTCAATCTGACCCACTCTAAATTTTCGAACTGCTTCAAATAGTGGTTAAATGGTTTATTTTTTGAACACATAGATGTGCTTTGGAAGGCTGTACAAATTTTAATATTACTTTTGTGTTGGGGTGAAATTAACCACACATTAGGTTCCATGCCAAAAATCAACACTTTGAAAACACTTCACAGCAGATTGTCGAACATTAAAAAATTAAATGCATGAGAACCTATGAAATTTAAGTTTCAAAGTTAGAATTTAAGAATCCAAGGAAATGCATGTTTGTTTTTGTTTTTTTATCTAATTTTATGTAATGGTAGATTTTTACCATCCCAAAAATATGACAAATGTTGTTTTTGGTTGTTAGTTTTATGGACCTCAATTACCAGACTGTTGCAGCACAGATAGTGTGAGGAACTCATTTTACACTCACTGGAGTTTGAAAACCAGACATAACAAAAATGCAGAGAAAAAAACAACATAAACAACAAATACTTCTTAGACTAAGTACAAATAATGTTAGATACTATTTACACCTCAGTGTGTAAATAATGACTACAAATAGTCATGACAAAAACAATTTTATTTTGTGTTTTTGCAGCAATTTTTGAACAAAAATTGTAGGTCAAACAATAAAAATACATGTGGATTTTTAAATTTCTCATATTTTATATTTTGGTCTCTGACAAGTTATAATAAAGGGTTTTTGTTTTTGCATGAACTTCTATTGTTTTTAATAGTGTTGATTGTTGGCAAATTGCATGGAAACAAATGTGGGACAATTTGACCCACAACAAAAGTTGTACCCGGTTTTTGCTTATTAATACCTAATAAACTTTTAATAAACTTTGAAAAGACTTTCAGACAATTCATAGGTCTATAAAAACTATTGCCAACCACCTTGTGAAATATTAAATTTATATAATCAGCTCTTACCTCCAGCACTGGTCCAGCACCCAGAATGATCTGCTCAACTCCACTAGCAAAGCCTTTCTGACTTAGAGCCGTGAGATGGTGGATCAGGAAGTTGGTGCTTTGAGTCTTGCCTGATCCACTCTCCCCAGAAATAACAATGCATTGATTCTGCTTACTCTGCAGCATAGCATGGTAGGCCACGTCCGCCACCGCATAGATGTGCGGCTCCAGCTTGCCCAGCTGGTGATTATCATACATCTTAACATATTTAGGGTTATAGATAGGAAGGAATTTAAAGGGGTTGATGACTATGAGGATGCTGCCCACATAGGTGTAGATCTTCTCCTGTTTGAAGCGACTGCGCAGGTTGTCCAGCAGAGTCTTCTCGTTGAGATCCGGCAGGTTACAAAGGTCATCGAAGTCCTTCGGCAAGGGCTGCGGCAGGAAGCCCCGCTCCATCATGCGCCGCCGCTCTTCTGTGACCTGCAGCCACATCTGCAAGTTGCCGTAGTGGATGGAGCCATCGAGGTTCTTCTCTCGCAGCAGGAAGCGGTAGTCCTCGCTGCTGAAGCGGTTCTCCAAGGCCATGCGAGGCCACAGCATCATGCGCTGGACGGGACAGTCGGTTGGGGTGAGGATCCATTCTTCCCCGCCGAACTCCTTCACTTCTGCCAGGACATAGCATTTCGTCCGATCTAGCTGCAGCCGATCAATGACCTGCTCGATGACCTCCGCGGCCGAAGTGATCTTACGGGCGGCGACGGGGCAGTAGATGGTGCCCTCTGCGATGACCCCTGGGTAGATGCGCAGGGTGAACTCAGAGTCCTCAAAGCGTCGTCTCCCGCCAACATCATGAACACTCATATTGGAGCAGCAGTTTCCATCAGCACTCACTGTACATCCTTCAAACGGGCCGGGTACTGCTTCAAGACATTACAACTGCCAGAGAAAGAAAAGAGACAATGAGAATAAGAAAATAAAAAACAAATGTTAGTGCTCAACTGTGTTTTCCAGTGGTTGATAACAATAGCGGTGTCTCATTTAGAAGGCTGCGCCCTCCGGAGGTCGCATTCGAAGGCTGCATACGTCATCGAGGCTGTCTCATTTTAGAAAAGCAAGTAGGACACTCCGAATGCGACCTTCTTTCACAGGAATTCGGAGGATGCATGAGGTGTATCCTTCGCTGCTACAGATAACCCACAATTCTTTGCGTCGCCGTAAACAACCGTTGTTAATTTGAAAAATGCCGGCGCCGGCAGATGTACACACAAGCGCAGATGTGGCGTTTACAACTTACCTTAAATCGCCTCGGTAAAAACGGATAAACTTTGTTTTTAATATCCTCCTCCTTTTTTTTCACTAACAGATGTCTTCTGTACATACGCTGCAGCTCCTCAAACATTGAACAAAAAACAAGTAAAAGCATTTTTTTCTTTCAAATTACTTTCCAAATGTAGAAAGAATTGTTCTTCATTTAAGTAGTGTGAGAGCGCAACGATGCTCTAAATGTGTTGGCATAGCAACGTGATACTTCCTGTTTCCTTTTCCGCCTGTCCTACGAAGGCCGTCTCGTTTAATTCTAGGTTTAGGACACTTCGTATATGCATCCTACAGAGGATGCGACCTCCAGAAGATTCGACCTCCGGAGGGCACAGCCTTCTAAATGAGACACAGCTAATATCTATTAATTATGAGAGACAACACATTATTTTGAAAAGTTGTTGAACAGTAATTTCACACAATATTTAGTCATATAAACGTGAAACCATTAATGTCCGTAACCCACAGACAAAGCTGTCATTAAACACTAAACAACCAACGGTCCATTAGGGGCAGTCGTGGCCTAATGGATAGGGAGGGAGTCTGACTTGTAACCCGAAGGTCGCGGGTTCGAGTCTCAGGTCCGGCAGGGATTGTTGGTGGGGGGAGTGAATATCCAGCACTCTCTCCACCCTCAATACCACGACTGAGGTGAGACCCTTGAGCAAGGCACCGAACCCCCAACTGCTCCCCGGGCGCCGTAGCATTGGGTGTGTGTTCACGGTGTGTGTGTGCGTGTTTGTTCACTACTCACTGCTGTGTGTGTGTGCACTTGGATGGGTTAAATGCAGAGCACAAATTCCAAGTATGGAACACCATACTTGGCCATACGTCACATCCTTTCCTTTCCTTAACTTTGGAACTAAACCTGCTCGTGTTAATCAAGTAGGTAAAGTTATCAGCTGATCTCAAAATATTGCCCAATTAATTTGTCTGGGCTGCATTGCCCAAAATATTGCAAGCCTAATAACGGGTTGGACAATGAAACTGGACAATGAATTAGGGCTGGACGACATTACCTAAAATCAAAACCTTGATTAATTGAATACTTTACCTCGATTACGATTATTGACCGATTATTTTATTTTTTTATTTTTTTATTCTTTTAACGCACATCTCATGTGTGAGACTCTGCAAAAGACGTGTAGTTCCGACTACACATGCAGCAAGTATCTTTTTAAAGGGAAAATATTAATAGGTTTAAAAAAACAAAATAACCGACATGGGACAATTACGTCGGTTAGAGGTTCTGAATTTCGGTTTCAATTGCTTTTCGATTAATCGTCCAGCTCTGTGTTGAAGGTTTCGTGACCATATGCGTGGCCTGGTGGCCAGTCTTCACCGATTTACATTCCATCAGCCAGGGCAGTGTATTAAAGTTGAATTAACAGAGCAATAGCACAGCTACTGTAATCCACACAACCTAATGGGAGACAGAGTTCAAAGGAGGAAATATTGTTGGTGCGTGTCTCGCCGGTGCACCTGTGACCAGGACAAGTCTTTGTGGTGTATTGAGAGCCATGGTATCCAGGGTAATGTTGGCATACCACCACGAATTACGAACCACATCCAACATTAGTAACTGTCAATGCATGAGGAAGCTGTCTGAAAGGGACTTTCGTGCAAAAACTGCATAATTCACTGCAGAATGAATTGTGCATCTCAAATCTATTGTTTCCAGCAAAACTGTTCATTGGGAGCTCCACAGGGTCAATATTCATGGTTAGGCTGTTATAGCCAAACCTTTGGTCACTTGTGCCAATGGCAAATGTCAGTTTCATCAGCGCAAACTGTGGCCTGTGGACAATGTGAAACATGTATTGCTCTCTAATGAGTCCACCTTCACTGGCTGTGTGGAGAAGCCCCATAGAGGCTTATCCACCCAGACTGTTGCGTGCACTCTTTGGGCAGCAATATCAGATGGGCACGTCCCTGCCAAGAACTATCAAACCATTCTGGAAGACCATGTGCTCCCAATGGTTCAAACATTGTACCCTGAAGGTGGTGCCATGTATCAGGGTGACAACACACAAATACACACAAGAAGACTGGTGACAGAATGTTTTGATGAAGATGAAAGTGAAGGTGAACATCTCCCATGGCCTGCACAGTCACCAGATCTGAATATTATTGATCCACTTTGGGGTGTTTTAGAGGAGCGAGTCTGGAAACGTTTTCCTCCACCAGCATCACACAGTGACCTGGCAACTGTTCTGCAAGAGGAATGGCTCAAAATCACTCTAGCCACTGTTCAGGACTTGTATCTGTCATTCCTAAGACAAATTGATGGTCTGTTGGCAGCAAAAGAAGGCAGTAATAAATTACTGTGGTCTAAAATAAATTGTTTCAGTTTCATTGTCCAACCCATGTAGACTGTAGACGCCCTTGGCACCAACAATATACAGTGCTTTTGGGAAACGTAGAGGTATCTATCACAAGCAAATATATCACTAATGAAATAATAAATTAATGGACACAAGTAACAAGTTTCATTTGTAAGGATACATGACATATCTGTAACCTCACTGGTATAACCCACTATTAGCATCTGAGTAAGGCCAACGATCAATTTAACCAATATTTTTTTACAGATATTCATAATTTTCTTCTTTTTTGTCATATTTTTCTACTTAATCAGTTACCAGTTCTTTAAAAAAAATACCAAATTCTACGAATGAATGTGCATTCAACAAGATGTAACAGAGTTTCAGGGATATTTGAATTACAAATTTTCAAAACAGCAATGCATTCTGAAGAGAGAAACAGATTACAATACAACTTTGCATAGGCTAAATAGTAAGCAAGCAGTCTTTCTTTTTTTTTTTTTCATCATCCATCAAACACGCTATGAATTTGCAGACATTGCAAAGCATACATTTCTGTCTGGATATCTAGATATTGTGTATTCATACACATGTTCTCTTTTAGCAAGAGTACACTAAGTTAGTATTCCCACTCATAATTTCACAAAACTAACAAACCAAAAGATAAAGTTAACTGATTAGCTACAGCTTTTAAGTGATTAAAACAGACTGATTTAAGAGTTACTATCAAGAATGATAGCAGGTTTGTGTTTCAATAAACACTGGGTCACTATCAGCTCTCAACAGAGCACAGAAAATCAGCCGGCTGCCAAAATCACCAGCTGCCACCTTCTCTAACAGACACACAATAACTTGATTCACAACCATCCACTTAATAATGCCTGAATAGTCTCCAAGGGTTACTATTCATTACAGAAGCCCTGTGTACACTGACGCAAAATAAAAACATGGTAATTGCTTTGTTACATTACTATAAACGGTACATAAATGTCAATGTTTAACATAATACATCTGACTTCGCTATAAACGCCCAACAAACTAGTTAATTTACTGAAATAACACCCACAGACCTGTATTTGTTTGAAGCTAAACAAATCATGACTCTACCTTCAGTCTTCACACAATCTGATGTGTTATTTCAGCTGAGGGCACAGGCTATCTTTTAAACAACAACTCAAACACTAACAGCCTTCGGTGTTTCAATACAGGAGCCCGTTCAGGAGCAGGGCTTTATTTATTTGTGCTTGTGAGGTCAATGTGGCTCCTGTCTGCTGGTGCCCGTCTCTCATCAGGAGCCAATGAGCCTCCCCTCTTGTGTGGCTGAGACTGATATCTGGAGTCCAGCCAGCACTCTCAGGTGCAGAGACAGGTCTCACTGAGGTCTCTGTTCAGTCCTCCATAGTATCGTTATTGATATAACAGACACAATCTACACAGGGACATTTGCAGCACACTGGATTGTGTTGGATGAGAAATGGGCTTGTATTTAGACATCTTTTAAACATCAGGATTGTTTCAGGGCTTAACTGCAGTCCAAGACTTGTTCAAATAGAATGTTTGGATACCATTTGTGGAAAAATAGCTGTTAAGGAAATGGATACCAGAGAGTGTTATGGCAAAACTAACAGATCCTATCATCCTGTAGCTTGTTTCCAATACTCTGGCTATGTTTAGGAACACTAGCATAGCTTTTGTGTACTGTGCAGCACATACTGCATTCCATTTTAACCGCATGTGAAAAGCATGAAAATGCAAACAATAATACTCTACAATGCTGTCACATAACATCAATACATTACAGGTTTAACTTACCAAGAAGTGTGCAGTCATCATCCAGCAAATAAATCCTATCACTTGACATTTCTAATCTAATTTTATTAAGCTGTTAAAAGCAGCTCCTTTTAAAACCGGTAAAAATGAGGATTCCAAAATAAAAGTTACTTCATATTTAGAATCTAAAATTATATTTTAGATATATTTAGTATTTATTGAGTTACAGGCATACAAACTTTGGAAAAAAGCATATTTTTGTTACTCAGACATGTATGTATGCAATTGTTTTGATAGAGGGAAAAAGATCCATTTCTAGTTTCAACTTTGTTTGTTCTTCAGACATTCCTCTTTAAAAGAATAAGTATCAGCTGTGACCCACATTTGAAAATGTGCAATTTAACAATTTTACAACTTAATTTACTCATGGGCCACATTGAGATCCTCATATCTCTGAAACTGAATCACATTGAGATACAGGCATGCAAACTTTAGAAAATAAGTGGGGTTTTTTTCACTATTGGT